TCCCAAGCCTAAAAAGTGGCTTTTCCCTCTTTTCCCCAAACCCTAAAAAAGGGCTTTTCTGTCTTTATTCCAAGCCCCAAAAAGGGGCTTTTTTCTCTTTTGGGGGACTTTCCCCTCTTTTTCCCAAGCTCCCAAAAGTGGCTTTTTTTTCTCTTTTTGGGGGACTTTTTCCCAAGCCCCAAAAAGAGGCTTTTCCCTCTTTATTCCAAGCCACCAAAAGGGGCTTTTTCCTCTTTTTCCCAAGCCCCCAAAAGTGGCGCTTTTTTTCTCATTTTTGGGGACTTTCCCCCTTCTTCCCAAACCCTAAAAAGGGGGTTTTTTTTCCTCTTTTTTGGGGAGCTTTTTCCTCTTTTTCCCAAGCCCCGAAAGTGACTCTTTTTCTCTTTTTTGGGGGACTTTTTCCTCTTTTGTCCCACACCCCAAAAGTGGCTTTTTGTCTCTTTTTTTGGGACTTTTCCCTCTTTTTTCCCAAACCCCCAAAAAGTAGCTTTTTTTCTCTTTTCTAGGGATTTTCCTCTCTTTTCTTCCCAAGTCCCCAAAAAGTAACTTTTTTTCTCTTTTCTGGAGATTTTCCCCTCTTTTTTCCCAACCCCCAAAAAGTGGCTTTTTCCTCCTTTTTGAGGACTTTTTCCCAAACCCCAAAAAGAGACTTTTCCCTTTTTCCCAAACCTAAAAAAAATGGCTTTCCCCTCTTTATTCCAAACCCCCAAAAGGGGCTTTTTTTCTCTTTTTTTTGGGAGAATTTCCCCTCTTTTTTTCCCAAGCCCCAGAAAGCAGCTGGAATTTTTTTCCTGGCTCCAGGGAGGCTCCAGGATCTCTCCTGCCCCCGGAGCCCTTTTCGCCTCATTCCCTGTGATTTATCCCTGGATTTCCCTCCGTCTTTCCCAGTTCCTGGCCCTGGACACGCAGCTGCTGCTGGGAACGCGCCGTTATTCCCTGAATCCCGAGGAATTCGTGTTCGGAGCCCTCAACATCTACCTGGACATCATCCACGTCTTCTCCTTCCTCCTGCAATTCCTGGGATCCAGCCGGGAATGAGGGAGTGGGGAGGGGCCTCTCCCTGCTGGAAGTGGGGAAATATCGGGAAAAAAGAGGGAAAAAAAGGGATAAAACCCCCCCGACCCCCCTTGGGAAGCGCCTTGGGAAGCTTTGGAGGTTTGTTTAGGCCGGAGAGCAAAGCTGGGCTTAAGTGTTGGGTGTCCCTGCTGCTCCCTCCGATCCCGCTGGGATCCAGCAATTCCAGGGTCTTCCCTGTTCAGGATCCAAGAATTCCAGGCTGGGAAGGCAGGAGAGCAGGATCTGCCCTCCAGGATCCCACAATTCCAGGGTCTTCCCTGTTCAGGATCCAACAATTCCAGGATCTTCTCTCTAGGATCCAAGAATTCCAGGGTGGGAAGGCAGGAGAGCAGGATCTGCCCTCCAGGATCCAAGAATTCCAGGATCTTCCCCCCAGGATCCCACAATTCCAGGGTCTGCCCTCCAGGATCCCACAATTCCAGGGTCTTCCCTGTCCAGGATCCCACAATTCCAGGGTCTTCCCTGTCCAGGATCCCACAATTCCAGGATCTGCCCTCCAGGATCCCACAATTCCAGGATCTGCCCCCCAGGATCCCACAATTCCAGGCTGGGATCTCCCCTGTGCCAGAGGGGTCTGTGTCCCGTGGGATGTTGGAATGCTGGGAAAAACCAGCATTTAGGGGAGGAAAGGAGGGAATTTTGGTCAAATCCTGGCGGGAAAAGCAGCTGAACTGAGAGGGGAGAGCCGGGAAAGCCTGGAATTGTCCTGGAAAAGTCCCAGGGAAGGAAAATTCCCTGGAAATATCCCAGGGAAGGAATATTGCCTGGAAAAATCCCAGGGAGTTCCCATTGCCTGGAAATATCCCAGGGAAGGATTTTTGCCCAAAACGTCACCTAAAAACCCCCAAAAGCCAAGAATAACCTCCCCCCCCCAAAAAAAACCCCCAAAAAACTCAAAACACCCCGGAAAAACCAAACAGGCAAAAACTCCCCCTCAGAAACAGGTAAAAAAAC